AAGAGTAAACGGCCTCCCTCAGGAGGAGTGAGGCTGTCGCAGGAGGCTCAGTGCTCTTCACTGTCCCTGTGACGTGGTTTCCCATAGAAGCGGTGGTTCAGGGATGCTGAGCTCACTGGGTGCTGGAGAGCAAACGCCCTGGTTGCAGGATTAACCCTCGAGCTTTAGCCCTGGGTAAACAAAGCCCCCTGAGCTCGCCGAGAGCCCCGGGCCGGAGTCCTGGCCTGAGAATTGCCCAGGCAGGGCAGAGGCTGTCAGTGGAAATGGGTGATAAAACCAGAAATAGTGTTCTATGCCTTTAAAAGAGGATAAATGGGAGGAAAAGGATTAGATTTATATGATCCTTTTCAACACAGGGCTTCTGTGAATGGAGGAGGGTAAAGAGGTGCATTTCCTTGATTTGCTTTCAGAAGTTTGACATTTTGTCACATACCAATACCCTGGTTTAGTAAACTTGCATTCCTCTTGTTCTGTATGCAGGTTGTTAATAAGAGCTACTTCTTTGTAAGCAGGAACCATAAATCATACATTGTAGTAATTAAGCTGTTCTTAGAATACTATATTAAACTGATAGAATCCAACCAATACATATCTTAGATATTTTGCCAGTTTTGACTTTAATAATATGGCAAGACTACATTTTTTTTCCAAAATTTGCACATAGTAAACAATTTATTCCTCACATGGATACCACAGATGTTAGAATTGGCTTGCTAAATTAATTAAGTACATATGCTGGTTGTTTTATGATTTAGAAGTGTCATGCAGTCTGTAGGTTTTACTGCCTGAAGACTATGATCAGTCTTTGTCTGATAGACTTTGTTAGCTTGGTACAAAAAAGCAACAGTGCTTTCCTTTTCAGAAGAGAATTTCTTTTTGATACTTTGGGCTGCTTTTCCCAGTAGCTTGGAAGAATAGCCTCAAGGTCTTAATGTCCTGTAAGAGATTAGCTTCCCAGTGCATTCATCTTGGAAACAAAACAAACCCAAAACACCACCACCTCCCCCCAAGCAAACAAACAAAAACCCTGACCCCCCAAAACCCAAACCACCAACCAACCCAAAACTCAGTGAAAGTCCTAATAAAATGCACATGAGAGAGGGAGTTGCTATAGAGAGACCAAGGGGCGCAATAAAATGCAGGTTAAGAATCCTCCGGAAAGAAGCCTACTCCAGGGACCGCAGAGTTAATTAACTGTTGCTGAATTGGAAGAGGACTGCGTAACGTTTGGCTCTGTAATACTTAGAGTTAAGGAACCTTTGATTAGAATTAATCAAATCTCATGAGGTGATTACCATAAGGGTCAGCGAGGACTCTCTTCTTCCCCTGCCGCACCCGCACATCGCTCCCGGCTTGGCTAAAAGCAATAAATCAGTTCTTTAGCAGCTTTTACGTCTCGGTGGCCCCCTTGCGCCCCAGCGACCCCCTTAGCTGGCCCCCACCCAGCGTCCAGCTCGCCGGGGAATTTGAGGGGCGATATTCCTTACGGGGAGACAGCCCTCGCCGTCGTTTGCTTCTTCCCATCTTCTCTGAGCACTTGCTTGCTGGTGCAGCTCAGCCCTTCCCGCCGCCTCGTGGTGGGGTTTAATGTCCTTTGCTGCCTGGATCCACCTCGCGGTGTGCAGAGCCCGTTTGTTGGGGGGGAGAGCTGCTTCTTCACAAGCTTTTATTGTGCCTGGGCTGCGGCACCGTTGGTAACACGGTTTGTGTCGACGCTGTGTTGCTTTGAGGCAAGTGCAGTGACTGCGGGCTGCAAAGGTGTGACCGTTTTGTTTTCTGCATATTTAATACTTAGAAAATAAACGTTCTGCATAAAAATGAGAGAGCAGAGAAGCAGTTTGTATTCTCTTTGAACTTTCCTCCTCAGATCTGAAGGTACTCTCAGGTGTGTGTTAGGCTCTCACAGAGAACCCGGCATTGTCATGGCTGGGAAAACATTATTTCATGCTTTGTGACAGACACATCAAATATCTTTTAGCTATTTAACCAGCAAGGAAATGAAGCAGCTGCGTCAGTAGTTTGGAAAGCAGCTCCTTCTCCCTGGAGGCCAGCGCTGTTACAGCCTCAGCTACCTGCAATCCCTCGGTGTTTCTGCAGACCTTCGCCATTCGCACTGAGCCCTGCGGGGTTCCTGGGGACCTGGGCTCTGGCTGAGCCATTTACAAGCTGTTTCCACTCCCGTGTCTCTAACGGGGTTACTGGTGGGCTTCTGCAGCCCCCGGCCCCTCTGCTGGTGCAGCTCTGGGGTGGGCGACGGGAGGCACACACACATGTATTTGGCTGCTTCCACTTTTTTTTGGCCAAAACCAGCCTGTTTGAACTCCGGGGTGTTGGTTTATTTCTCAACTTGAACACTGTAATATTTCCAGCCCTTGCAGCGGTGTTACCAGACTTAATGAATTAATACACGAAGGGCTTTGAGCTCTCCAGATGAAAGGCGCTGCAGAAGGACTAAGGATTATTTTTTGTGGTTCTCATTTATTTTCCATCAAAGGGATGAGAGGGGTGAGAAAATGCCATTTGTTCTGGAGCTGGGAGCAGGAGTTTGAAGTCTTTTCTTTTTCTTTTCCTCTCCCCTTTGTGTGTTTTTCTGGGAATTTCGTGGAAGTCCCTGCTCTGTCTTTTCTTCTGTGTGTGGAGCAGCCGGCAAGGCACTAACCACCGGGGACTTCAAGGGTCGCAGCGTGCGAGGAAATCGCCTGCCCTGGTTTTCACTAGCAACCCGCTTCTGGGCATTGCAGAGAGCTGCCACCTCCGGCTTGAGTTCAGCCTCAAAGTAAAGGGAAGTTTTCACATGGAATTTTTTTCTCAAATAAAAAACCTTTCTGAATTTTATCCTGC